ACCTTCGCGAAGAATTGCATGACATAAATAGTAGCACGTCCTTTTGTTATCATCTTTTCCATGAGACCTGGGCGTTATTGCTTTCAGTTTCATGTCCTTCACGCAATCTTTTTGTCATTTGTGCTCGGGTCTGCAACATTCGTCTGTTTCTCTGGCGCGTTGTTTGTCCTGCTACCCGAGGTATTTCCTTTTCTCCCAGGTTGTGTCTTTGGCCACACTAACCCCGCTCTTTCTATCTCACTTTTGGTTGCGAGTCGTCCACTTGACTTGTAACGCCATCCTCCGTCTTGATAATCGAGATCGTCAAGACCTGGAGGGATACCATACGTTTTTTCGTAATCTTCTTGGCTTATAGGAGTACTTTTTATGGCCAGTTCCACAAAGGCTAAGAGAAAGGAAGCCAGGAAAAACAGGATGCAGAATGTCAAGAAGTCAATTTCCATGGCCCCTGCTGTTGATCGAAAAGAGCGAATGTTTACTTTGATGGCTATTGCGCGATTCATGGGGAGGGAAAAGACATTTTTAAAAAAGAAACAATATTTAATAATTTGACGATGCGTGGTTCACCATTGACCTGAACTTTCAATGTAAAGCTCAGAAAATGACCATCTTATCCACATAAGCGAATAGGTGTCGCGACACGGGCTGGTACCTCGAAAGCGACTCTCTTGCTGCGAGACGGAGTCGGTTGACTTCAACGGCTGAGCGTTAAAACAGGAGACAACGGCTTCGCAACCGCCATTTCAAAAAGCAATCTAAGTTCTCATGTGCTATGGGAATCATCCATCGCTGCAGTGTCGCATTTTCAACATTACTTTATACTTAATGCAGTTTGAAAAGGATACATTAGCTCTGAAAAGGTTGATAGTCTATTTTTATGTCCCTTCTCATCCCATTCATTTAACCTCCTCATTCACTATTGCGTTCGCCTACCGGGTCGTCTTGTATTTCTTTACCTGATCCAACAGTTTCTTTGCTACCGGATCGCTTTCAAAATGCTTTCGAACTGGCTCCAAAATGCTATTCAGTGCCATCGTCACGGCCGGTTTTAAGTCTCCCGGATGAATCTTCCCACCCTTGTAGTCTGCCTCGAACTCTTCGTAATCCACGTACTCTTTTCTCACATTCCCTTGAAATTCGATCTCAATTTTACCGTAGTATCCAAAGATAATATGCTTCACGTAATCAATAATTGGATTACCTTCAATGACTTCCGGAGGGCAGAACGCTTTCTTGATTTTCCGTTTCAAATCCGCTTCGGAATCCTCCATGAAAATGGCGGAGTCTGGGTCAGACTTACTCATCTTTTCTTGACCTTCTTTCAAGCCCATGAGCATGTGATGCGAGATAATGACTGGCTTAAATTTGATTTTCACGCTATCGCAGTATTCGCGGGCCAGCATGTTCACTTTCCGTTGATCCAGGCCTAGTTGGCAAATGTCCGCTTTAAGGAAGAACACGTCGGCACATTGCATACACGGGTACATGATTTGCGCGGCACTCATCTCCTCCGTATCTTTTCGCCCCATAATCGTACAGCAGCGTTGTATCCTGGCCAGGTTGTTGATGCGGGCAATATCCATGACTCGAGACCAGTATTCGTCCGAGTGGGCATTGATCTCCTCCGACGCCCACAAAAACTCCACGTTTTGCATGTCCATTCCGACCGCCCGCCAGATTTCAATCATGTACCTCCCAACCGTTTGAATTTTTTTCAAGTCTCCACCCATTTTGTTGTTCAACAACGCGAACCAGTCTGCCACCCAGAATTTGAAGACGCATCCACACTGTGTGAGTTTGTTGGCATTGATGGCACGCATCACCCCCTGAGCTATATGCATACGTCCCGAAGGTTCAAATCCGTCGTATACAATGGGATGAGGTTTTTTCTCCAGGAGCAACCGCAGTTCCTGCTCTTGGATGCACTCCTCTCCCACACTACGGGCCAGGGCATACTTGGCGTCTGCGGAAAGCGGGGAGACAAAGTATTCCTTCCCTTCAATAAGACCGTTTGCTCCCCGTGTAATGGTGCCTCCGGCAGAAAGCGGCCCATGGGAGACCGTTGAAGACGTGGATTTGGTATTATTATGAGCTCCTTGAGATGAAGAGGTAGAAGACCTTTGTGTGCCTGGGGCGGTGCGGAGTAAAGGTAGTGAGGGGGAGACAGGGCGTGAGAGGGTCGTACCGTCCTTCCATAAATTTATAATACTGTACCGCTGAATGTTACTCCCACTATGCAAACATGCATTTGAAGGCATCGGGGCGTCCACGGCGCGAAAAGGGATGAAGGAAAACGAGGTGCCACGGCAGGCGCATAGGCAGGTGGGGCGTACCTACCTCCTGGAGCTTCGAGGACGCTAAAACGCGCCGTGGCTTGGACCGAGAAGCGCTTATCGACCGACATATTTGTCTGTGTGTGAATTTTCGAGCATAAAGTCTACGATCACGATCATCAAATGTGTTCGATGGATGACAAAGCGTTGCAACAAAGGGCGAGGCTGGGAACAAACACCCTGCCACATCCCTCTCGGCTTCCAGTTTCCAAAAAGCATGTCTAGTCAAATCATGCCCATGACGTGTGAGAGAGGCAATCAGGCGTTCTTAGTTCGCGAACAAATGATATGTACGACAACAAACCGAAAAAGGTAACGAGCGGAAAGGGGGAAGACGGGCGGGCCATAGCTGCCGCCCGTTCTGCATGTGGGAAACCTCCTCCCCCCCCAACTAGCCGACACGACCCAGTCCAAACACCGTATTCATAGAAGACATGCGACGGCTAATTCGTCAATACAGAGCGGCACAGGACGTTAAAAGGGAGTGGTTGCGAAACGAAAATGGGTCTCGTGGACATGTTGGCTTTGGAAGGCATCAGTCTGAATCCTTCAGCCCCAGTCCCTCGGTTAACGATATGTTCGACGGACACTGCCAAAAAATGTGCACTTCTTTTTCTTTTTTATTCATGGCCTGGCCCACAGACTCTCCATCTTGTCGGCAGCATTACCATTCATAATCATGATCGCTTCAACGATATCGCGAAACCTACTTTGCATCAAATCCCGGTTTCAACCTGTTTGTTGCCGACCTTGAGCGAGCAGCACCTCTCCCGCAGCCCGCCTGTGGCAGCTCTCAAATTGTAATGATCTCTCTACGGACAGTCCGCAGGCGGTCCATCGGGGATGAAGACCTGCATGCCGTCGAGGTTTTTCGTCAGCATGACTTGACAGCCAAGCCGGGAGTTGTCTGTGGCTTCCTCCTGCCAGTGCTCTTCCAGCAATTCGTGCTCCTTCTCGGTTGCTGGTTGCTTGTCATGAATGGTATTGATCCAAGGGGAAGGGATTTTTACGTGGCAAAAATGACAGCAAGGGCCTGTCACAAGAAAAGGTGGTTGCAAGAGGAAATCAGCCGCAGCGATCCCTCTCAAACACTGAGAGGGGGCTTAAGCTCGCCCTCTTGAGTGTCTCTAAAATCCACGGACAGCCTTCTTCCGACGTTCCCCCCGAAAATCTGTAGGTAGGGTATAGCTGTCCATCTATATAGAATACTCTCGGACTTACCGCGCCCGAATAAATCCTCCGTCCACCGCTCAGAATGCTTCTTCTGCTGTACCGCCCCACCGCCTCCACATCCCGACTCTAGCTCAATATCGTGCATCTGCGCCACATCCAGAAGGCTCTGGCCTACTCGGCCCGGCACCGTTATCCTTAAGCCCTACGTGACAACGGTAACAATCAGAAAAAAGGGCGGGTCCTCTCCCCATTTCCATTCGGCCTGGTGTAAGCAAAGAACTCTGCCACCCGACACATACACCCTACCTCGTGGTTGATAAATGTCACATTGACGGTCACATCCTTCACCGAAGCGAGTGTGCGTCGGCTGCTCCCAGTACTATTGATTACTGCTCCTGAACGTCTCCCCACTGTTGCTTGGCTGTGTGCTCCCACAGCCAGGGCTTGACGCAGCGCTTTCTTGGCCAAAAGCGCCGACGCCATGAGTGCCTGTATGCATATGCGAGATATTGTCGAATTGGCGTGGGTAAGGCAGGAAAGATTGGAACAAGTGTCGATGCACAATGTCTCCTTTTGTCTACCCCAGCCCAACGATTCGATCGTAGGTTGGACTGGCCCACACGACTACCGTCTCACTGCATCCCTGCAATGAAATACAGCACATTCGGCACACGCGCGTCTTTGAACGAATACTTGTCTCGATGAAATTTCAAATGCGACGTCCCAAGACAGTCGCGCAATCGATAAATCCAGTGGCAATGCCCGGGGCCCGACATAGGATCATCATGCATTAAAACGGGGGACGGCGTAATGATTGCCGTCGTTCATTGCCGTCCCTCCGTGCAACATAAGCTGGATTACGTTTATGCATGATCCTTTTGCCGTCTGCGGAATAGTTTTCGCCGCAAGCTTTAAATTTGTACACCACGTTATGTCGCTTGGCGCGCATAAGGACCTGATGTATTTACACAAGTTGAAAAAAGCGAAGTATTTTATTGAATCTGCAAGTAAGCGCTATTTTGTTTTTAAAATATGCGTATTTATTCGCTTTCTCTTATTTCCATCGTCATAACAGATGGAAAACGTGATATAATCCACATGCGAGCAGAAGGATCGTTATTCCCGTGACTGAAATCATTATCTCCCTTCTTTCCCCCTGGTCATCATCCCTCTCTCTTTGTGCCTGCCTCCTCGTGTCCAGAACTGCCCCTTCCAACGTCTTTGCGAACATATCCAATCCGAACTTCTCTTTGACATGGACATGGCCCGCTGCTCCCATCGTTTCTTTCAATGTCGGGTCGACCACAAATCTATACATGGCATTGGCAAAGCACTCTGGGTCGCCCTGGCACAGAAACCCCGTGGTCCCGTCAACCACGGTCTCCAACGGCCCTCCGGAAGCTACCGCTACCACCGGGCTGCCCGCGTACATGGCTTCCAATGGCACGATGCCAAAATGCTCCCGGTCTGGAGTGTACAACACAGCCAGGGCATCTTGTAACAACGCGGCCCGCTCGGAATCTGAAATCGAGGGCTGAAATGAAATGCTCTCTGCCACCCCTAACGCAGAGGCGCGCGCTTGGAGGTCGTCCATGTACTCCCTGTTCTCCCGCACCGCCTCGTCGTAGCCTCCGGCAATGACGAGTCGAAGGGAGCTTGAGCCGTTCACGTGTCCGTCGGCCCAATCGGTCTCGAGGCGGGTTCGCAGCAAGGCCAAAGCCTCTAGGGCAAGGCCGATGTTCTTCTTGCGCTCGAAACGATTGAGGGAGACGAAAGGACGAAGCGCATCCTCTTTCCGGACCGCTCCTTTTGTCTCTTCCTGAGTAGCGTCATGTGTGGGGAACGCGGACGCTCCCGCTTTAGGTGGCACAAATCTTCCTAAATTAATGGCTGGGTGTATGACAGCAGGAGCAGGGTGCCGAGAAAGGAGACGAGGAAATGTCTCCGCGAAGATCTTTGCAGTGAAGAGACTATTGACAGCTATCAGGGTTGCTGCACCAGTTGTTTTTTCCTCCAGCCAATCCAACGGGGCGCGGTAGAATCGCTTCCAAACCGAGGCCCTGTTAGTGCACAAAAGTTTATCTGGAAAATGGCAGTAGAACAACACTGGGAAGCCACAAACGTAACGCAGTAAAGGGACCATGGCCGAAACGCCGTCACATATTACAACATCAACGCGACGATCAATTTGTCCCTTCTTGCGCTCTGAATGTCGGCAGCTTGATTTCCTCAAGCTCAACGTCGATATCCAAACTACCAATGCCAAATAGAGCATACGGATCACCGCGCACATGGCCGTAAAGCGACCAAGTACATGTCTAGGAAGCCAATCACCGGCAACATGGATGTGGGAAGCCAATGACCCGGCGCCCCGGGTCTCACCAAAGCAATGGGAGGCGTCATGGTGGGTGGTCCATATCGTGACGTGATGCTCCAGTTGCTGCAAGGCCACGGCAGCATTCACAATAAGCTGCTCCGCCCCCCCAATTCCCAGATCCAGGTGGAGGAAAGTCACATGGAGCGTTTCAGAAGGTGGATCGGCGGATGGTGCATCTGAAGGAGCGCATGAAAGTTTGGCCATATATCAATGCTCGACAGTCGCTGCACTTTTTGAGCGAGCGGCCCTACAAGGTGTATGGGGAGGGCTTAGAAGCGATTGAAACTTGATTGGAGCGCTACCAGAGTTATGCATAGTAGGAAGGACAAGGCTTAAATGTGTCGGTTAACGATGCCCTCCATAGCGCTTGAACAAGGCCCGTTCCTCTGCACGAAAAAGTCGAGCACTGCCTCGCTCCTTTCTAGCGAGCTCCGATCTCGCCAAAACAAGTGTTTGGGAAGGGGATCTTCAGGGCCTGACTTATGAGCACTACGTCTTTGCATCTCCAGGCGTAAATGATTTTCATTGAGTTGAGTTGATTTATGTGTGTGTTTTATTTTCTTTGCGTTGGAAACCTGGCGTTGCGGTTTATCCTCATCACCTGCATACCTGTACAACCTTCGCCTTCTTAGTTTAATATGACTTAATTTCTAATTTCTTGATGACGAAACGCCGCCACGACGTCTTTCAAGATGTTTCGATCACTAAGATTTACTGATGTGGCCTCCAAAGAATTAATGCGGACTGCTAGTGTATAAAAGTTGCGGATGTCGAATAGTATATCGATGGGTAATGTAGGATCCCGATCGTGTAGTATTTGGTAATTGCATTAACACTTATTTTGTATGCGAATTATAAAGATGGTATTTATGTATCCGAGTTCTGTTTTCGCTCATCAGCGAAAATAGACAGCATGTTTAGGAAAGTCTGGTTGGCCCATACGTTTGACCATTTGCTTGCGGTCGACACGGGCTGGTCCATCTTTTTCTTTGCCATAAATCTAGTTAGCTGATTAAGTTATGCGTTGCGGAAATGGGATCCAATGTTTGATAATGCTTCTTGTGGGCAACCGTGCCTTCAAATAATATTATTAAGTTTAATTCTTGCTGTCTCCGATGCTGTTTGCTGTTTTGTCGGAAATTCTTCCACCCAATTTGCGAGGGAGACCGTGAATAGTGGAAAACTGTCAAATCCTCTTTTGCGAAGCAGCTATAGACAACTAGCCGCACCACACTCGCTAGAAAGGTGCCCAGACTGTAGGCTGTTGACCTAATTCAAAGCGTTTCCCACTTTGAGGGGTTTTTCCGAGAATTGCCCGTAATGCAATTGTTGCAATATTGATTGGTTTTTGTTGACATGCCCTACCATACATACTTGTGGGAGATCCGATTATTAGTTTTTATAGAAACTAAAAGCTCGGCCATCGACTTGTCGTGGTACGACTACACTATCATTTTTTTTAGCGAGTCAGGTTTCACTTGTTTGTCAAATTTATACTGCGGGATGGTTCGTTATAATTGTTACGTGTCGACCGAAAATGTATGGATAGAACTTCTACACTGCCCATACGATTGACAATGGCTTGTGGGAGTGTATTGCTTTACAGCCCGAGTGAGAGATCGGCATGCGTAACATACACTCGACTGTTTCCGTCGTCGTCCGTTTGTTCTAAAATGGCGCCTACTCCAAAACCGCTTGAATCAGTGTATGGCGTATAACCTTTTGATATATCCGGACAAGCTAATACTTCTGGTGTCATCAAGGCTTGTTTTAATGGTCCGAATGATTTCTGCTGCTCTTTTTCCCATTTCCAACGATTTGTGGTGCATAATAGTTTTGTGGAGGGTCCCGCTATCGTAGACAATCCCTTGACAAATTTTCGATGATAAGAACATAAAGACAAAATTAATCTATTATCTTTGGTTTTCTTTTACTGGATCATTTGAGAGGGTAGAGATCATGTCTGGGTTTGGTGTTACGCCTTCTTGAGATACGAGAAATCCCAATGATCTTGTTTCAGCAATTTAAATTTTCAAATTTGAGCTGCTTGTTCCTTCGTGCATCCTCCTCCTCAGCCTACACCTTGAATCTCGTTTTACATTTTTTGATGAGATAGGACTTGTAAACCAATGAAAAATAATGATCGCATACCATCTTGGCTTTCCTTTCTCGTACAGGCGGTTGATGCTGCGTCCAAAGAGACAAGAACTCCGAAACCTCGCTCTTTGCTCATCTTTGTTCCTCCTGCTGTGTCGTCCCTGCCTCTCTTTTAGCAGCCTTTGCAGGAGTTTTTTGCCTGACACTGGATCCTTTTCCAATGAAGTTCAATGTAACGACAGGGGAATAAAATGGCCACTAGAATTTCAATACTGTCTACCGGAGAATTGGGGTTTACAGTGCGGGGTGAGTATTTATTTTGATTCGCATGAGGAGGTAATGCATTTCATAAATCTCTTCTTACATTGTTTATTGAATGTCACTATTAGTTGTAATGGGAATTAAAGGTTTTTAGACTCCTATTTCGCTCTCAAACCATACAAACTCGATATTTTCTTACAGACATGCTTGCAGACTTGCTACTTCATTCCAACATTCAACGACTCCTATTTTCTCCCTTTTAAATACACATTCCCATCGCTCAAGTCATTCGCGCAGACTTGTGATGTTCGTACTAAGGGTAATAACTACAATGAAAGCGATCTCGGTGTATACTGTTGTCGGCCCTGCAAACTCTATCGCTTGATCACGGAGCATTGCGATGCAGTCCACAAGACACAGAACGGCGAGGACCAAACATGTTTCGAAGAAAATAAAAACACCCAAGCTGGCTTAACCTTTCTACGAGCACAGAGTAGCCTGGACAACTCAGAAGAAACACCGCATTGGCTCTTTATTCCTCCCGCCCCCAATCGTGGTATTGAAGATACGCGTACAGACGCATCACTTTTTCAACAAGCCTGGCGCCTAGCTATGGATCCTTCCCAATACTTGAAACCGATAGTTCACAAAAGTCATGGCGCAGACGGAGCTCAATTATTCAATTCGTCTGTCATCCCAGGCAAGATGGGCCGGACGAATGTCGCCATCGGTATCAACCAAGCAGACCTTCGAACCCAGCATCAAGCTCATATTCATTACGCAGCATTGCCTATCCCTTTCCGGCGACATTTGAATGAGAATGCTAGGATTCCAAGTGGTCTGAAGACATGCACGGTAGTGTCAGGTTTTATGTACGGAGAACAGAACGTTACATATTTTGGGTGGCTGTTTCCATGGGATTTGGCCTTACTCCCGGAAGGGAAGAAATATCAGGCTGAAAAGAACAAAACAGGAGATGTCACCGCCCCGCTGTGGACGCTTCGAAATCTAGTGTTGGATATGTGCCCGCAATTGCTTGATACATTGGTCAAGGACGCCTTGGGCATGCCGATCTTGGATCCACCCACTCTACCGCACGCTCCGGTAGGCTCCCATCCTTTCGCACATGCTGGGGATTTCCAAATGGCGCAAGTAGCTGTCATTATTGCCCCCACCACCACCCTTGATCCGAACACGCAGCGCCCATCGGGTCATTACGTCTTGATGGGATCGACGGCGACACGCTTCCACGCAGAAAGTCTTTTGTGCACACAAGCTGCGATCGACGGCATCGGCTCCAAGAAAGGATGGGACCCCGTGACGGATTGTCCGGTCACCGCCAAGGAATGGCCGGAACCTGAAGGGGGTCGGTAGATTTCGAACGGGGTATATCAAAAATAAAGGAAAAGAAGAAGGATCCAGAAAAGGGCGATGGCCCACGCCAAAGCCATGATGGGGGTCCATAAGGTGGGGGTCTTCACACGTAACGTTGTGGGAAGCATGTATCGAGGCCAGTGAAAATCTATGCATCCACAAGCCAAAATTACGTCCATACTTCCCATTCCCATTCTTCCCTTGCAAAATTGCTTCATCCCGTTGTATTTTGAGGCGCTACAATAAAATTTACAACCCCGCCTACGGCGCCAAGCCCGTACCGGGGGGCAAGAACACATCATCTTACTACAACACGTAATAAGCAGTCACAAGCTACAATTTTTCATGCACATGCATGTTGTCAGATGCACATCCGACTTAATAGAATCAGTTTTTCTTAAGCCCCTTCCCTTCCTTCTCAAGACAAGCCCAATATTTCCCATGCACAGCAATCGTCTTTTCTATAGCCTCGGCAGCATCCTCAAGAATGACAACGTCGTTTCCATCCCTCAAGTCATCCTCTCCCAGCAGGTCCTCTTCCCCCCCCCCCCCTCACTCGGGCCCGTCAAAGCTTCCAGGCAGGCCTCTACACACTCTCCCAAGATGGACAGACGGTAGCCTCCCTCTAGCGCCAGCACCACCCTTCCCTCGGCGCTTGGGACGCCCTCCACCAGCATCCTCGCCATGGTCCCAAACCCCGCCCTGGGAGTGATCTCGCAGCCCCCCATAGGATCTCCCTGGGCCCCGTCGAAACCCGCCGAGACCAGAATCAGCTCCGGTGCAAAGGCCCGCGCCACGGGCAACAATATCTTCTTCCAAACTTGCCTGTATTCCGCGTCACCCATGCCTCCTTGATTCCATGCCACATTAATGGTGTATCCCTCTCCCTCCCCCTCCCCTACCCTTTCCGGAGACCCGCTTCCAGGCCAGAAGCGTCCGTGATCATGGCGGTGTACTGAGAAGTACAACACGGATGGATCTTTCCAGAACATTTCCTGCGTCCCTTGGCCGTGGTGCACGTCCCAATCACAGATCAGGACCTTGGACAACCCCAAATGCTCTCGTGCATGCTTGGCAGCGACGGCCACGCTGTTCACGAGGCAAAAGCCCCTGGCAGAGTGAGACTCGGCGTGGTGACCCGGCGGGCGGATCAGGGCGAGCCCGTTCCTGAGGCGGGGCGGGGAGTGGGAGACGTCGGTGCTGCGTTCGTGTATGGTGCTATCCGAAACCTTGTTGAAAGCATGTGGACGTGCAGAATCGGATAAGGTGGATGCGGGACAAAGGCCCTCGGGAGAACGCGTGGACCCCACAGTCCCCACCACCCGGTCCACCAAAAGCAGCAAGCCTCCTGTTGCCCTGCGGGCACACGTCACGGAAGACGCGTTCAGGTAAACTGAGTCAAATTGCTCTGCTTCATCTTGCAATTTCGTCAACAATTGGTCCCTGTCCTGCTGGCTTCCCTCAACTGCCGCCGCGCCCCGATTTTCCCATCGTCGAAGACGCCGCAAGTAATGTCGATTGTGCACCCCCGCCATGACACCGTATTCCACCGCGTTTGCCTGGCCAAGAACAGTCAGTTTATCCAGCACTCCGCGGCTCGCCAGGTGTGCCAATATAGTTTCCACACGTTCAGGCCTTTCCGGGTGCTTTCTGTCTGGATGATAATGAAGCCGGTGGATGGCGTC